AGCATTAGAAGAATAACAAGAATACTTTCTTTTTTTCCTTTCTTTCTTAGTGAATACAAAAGTGCACTATGTCCAGAATGGCATTGGGACCAAGAGCAAGTTTCCTGTTCAATATGCACTAAAGAGCAAAGTCTTCTGTTTTCCTCTGGTTCCTTCTAAAATAAAGTAGCTGTATACTATCTCTTTCAGTTCCTGAGAGGAATAGATACTAGTATTTTCTATCCCTTTTATCTTGTTGCTTATACAAATTTGGTCACTTTCCAAAGAATTTCTGCCATCTTGCCCAGGCATCCCTGGAACATGACATTCTGTAACTGAGACTTTAGTGAAACAAAGACAAAATGTAGAAAAGAGCCTTTACAAAAATACAAGTGTCAGTAACATCTTTCTAGGACATGCAATATAAAAGAACTTTTAAATTTAACAATCTGTGTACAGGTTATTTGTTTATTGATTAATAGATTGACAGTATTTGCTGTAGCTCAAACTAGTATTAAACTTGCTATATAACTAAATATGATTTTCATCTTTTGATCCTTCTGCCTCTACTTTTTAAACACTAAAGTCTCTTGTTTATATCACCATGCTCAGCATTACATGATGCCTGATATCTAACCCAGGACTCTACATATGCCAGGCAAACAGTCTACCAAGGGAACACCTAGGTAATCTTGATGTACTGCATGAAAATTATTTGTATTTAACTCTTTTTTAATAGGTTCATATTTTATGTTGTTCTGTCTTATTATATTAAAAAAGAAAATAAAAGATATGAGAAGCAAGAAACAGGGACAAGCATGAGGATGTACTTTTGATAAGGAAGGTTTGAATGAGAAAAAAAAAAAGAAAAGGCAGGATTTTTGTTTGATAAAATAAGGTTTGTCCTAAGAAAAGTGAGCAGATTATTCCACAATGGAAAAGGGAAATTGTTAACAAAGGGAAAGACCACATATCATGGAAGGCCTAAGCAAATCACAAAGGATTGGGGGGGATAAATCTTAGGGTGTATGTAAGAAGATTAAAGATAATTAAAATCCCTAAGACTTCTCAGAAGTCCTTATTTTTTCAAACATCTTTTTGTTTAAGCTTTTGCTCTTGTATCTTTTTATTTGCTGATTGTATTTTAAAGCTTTGTAGCTATTCTCTGTTGGCATGCTGCCAGAGTCCAGCTCCCCACTAGAGAGAGCCTCAACTATGGCTCTTTCAGATGCTAGGACATATGCTACAAGACAGACAAAATGAAACTAGAAAAGGAGGCAAGTATGCTTGGTGGAAGAGCTACCGTTCTCTTACAAACCTTGCTTGCATTTGATCCTAAAGGGTTTTGGAGGATCACTCACTCCTGGACATCTGTCACCTATTTTCTGAAAGATCTCATCCTGGCAAAGGAGGGCAGTTAGGACCAACTCACTAGATGGTTAACAAGCAATGTCTTCAGGGAAAAAATTAATTAAAAAATATATATCTCAGTCAAGGGAGAAATTTGCAGAGTCAAAATGAAGTCATGCCTGGCATGGTTAGGTGCTGTGGAACAATCTTTGTACACTGTAAATATGTATTACTCTCATTGGTTAATAAAGAGCTGACTGGCCTCTAGCTGGGAAGGAAGAGATTGGGTGGGAGAGCCAGACTAGGAGGATACAAGGAAGAAAGAGGGCAGAATCTGAGGAGATGCCATGAGACCCAAATCAAGCAGAATGGGAAGCAAGTACATGAGGTAAATGAACCTCGGAGAAACATATAGGTTAATAGAAATGGGTTCATTTAAGTTATAAGAGCTAGTGAAAAAAAGCTTAAGCTATCGGCTAAGCATTTACAATTAATATTAAGACTTTGTGTGGTTATTTGGGGAAATGGTTGGTGGGACATAAAAGTCCACCCACAGTGGAGAATGTTTACAATCCCATGACTTGTGAGGTTGAAGCAAGACAGTCATGGGTCTGAGGTCTGCCTGGACTTCACAGTGACTTCCTTTTACACAGTCACCAACAGAAATGGGGTTGAGGTGTGATATAAGAAAGATTCTTATGCCTGATTACCTGACACTGAATAAATGTCTTATAATCTTGGCTTCTATTTGTGTTCTGTTTATATTTGCTTAGGGTGCAGGCATTTTCCAGGAATTTTCACATAAACTTAGAGTATCATCATAAGTCCTTCAAGGCTGAAGTATAAAAACAAAACAAAGGGAATGTTAACTAATAATTTTTTGCAAGTAAACAACAGACAGGTAAAAGAAATACTTCAGCAGAGGCTGGGAGAGAAGATAGATTTGAAAAGACAAACTAAGGTTTTCTCTGTCAGAGTCACTGAAGACCTCAGGCTAGGCTTAGGACCTTTGTTAATTAGCAGCATCATGGGGGTTGGGTGAGATATTTTCAGGGTGAGCATGGCATTATCAGAAGTAATGCGATTTGGTCTGACATTGGGGAGAATTTAACAGAAGGAGGGAAAAGAAAAACGTAATTTTACTTTGCAAGTTGGCATGTTTCTGAGTGAAGATCTGTAAGTAAACATATGGAGTGAAGGGTTTAAATTCAGTCTGGGCAGAGAGAGGAAAACCCCTCACTAAACTAGGGACAGTAAAACGGTAGGTGAATCAGTTGATAGCATACAGGATGCTTAAAGGAATATGGAGGTTTAGGAATGTTAGAAAAAAGAAAGTTAAAAACAGTATTCAGACTGAGTGAAGAAACTGAGAATGTGGAAGGTAAAACTATTCAGAGTTTAAGATCATGACATTGACTATGACTGACGGTAAGGAACATTAACACAGGACTACTGAAACATCAAGTGTTAGAGTAGAACTGGGTTGCCAATAATCACACTAAACTTGGAACTAAAAACTTTGGGCAATGCAAAAGAGTGACCAAGAAATAGTACATGACTGACTGACTGACGCTACAAAATTGATGTGCTAAGTCTTACATAACTTGGTCATTTATTTGTATAAAGATATATCTTACACTGTAGGAATCTATAGATACTTTATATTTATATTTATTATACAAGACTAACCTATCTTCACAGGCATAGGGTTATCAATTCATAAGTCAATCCAAAAACTGAAAAAAAATTTCCCTGAAAAATACTGTTATATACAACTTGAAATAATGACTATATGTCTCTACAGGATATAGAAAAAGAAAAAAATGAAATTCATTTAAAATAATTTATTCACCAATTCTTGTGAAATTCTGTTGGAATTTATTCACCCCAAATGTCATAAAAATTATATAATTTCCAAAATATCCTACCCATTAATTTTATTTTTTTAATTATGGGGATTAAGATGATATCATTTCTTCCTTCTCTTTGCTACCTCCAAATCTTCCCCCATACCCTCTATTGATCTCTTTCAAGTTAATGACCTTGATTTCTTTAATTGTTGATAAATATATTCCTAAATATATTAACATTCCCTATAAAGTAACTTGTATAAATATAATTTCAGGGCTGACCACTTGGAATTGGATAACCAATTATTGTACTCGTTCCTGAAGAAAACTGTTTCTCCTGTTCTCAGAATTCCTAGTTGGCATTAATTCTTTGTGTAAGATTGCACCCTCCTTAAAGAAAGATAAAACTAGAATTTGAGGAATCTTAATTGCTCATTCATTCATGCATCCATCAGTCAGGTCCTCAGAGAAGGCCTGTTTCCTGTCAGTTGTCAAGAATATATCTTCTCTAAATAACTCTGGTCAGTTAGTTTCAAATTGTTAACTAATACCTTGATACCTCTCAACAAGACAAATATTTATTATCTGGGAATCAAATAATCCATTCAAAGAGTAGATAATAAAGATTAAACCACTCTTAACTCTGTCATGATAGAATTAAGCACAGTACATTGGAAGTAAAATAGAACATTTAGTTTGAAACTATCATCTCTAAAAATTATAATTAGCTTCTGCAAAGCATGGAAGGAAAAAAAATTTCTTTAATTCATCCATTGGCTATGAACCTCATCATTGAATTAATTCCTTCCTTAATTCTCTAAAGAAACAAGTTGCTTATAAAGTCATATTTTCAATATGCCTTACATTAGTTTTCAATGCACTATTCAGGACTGTCATATTAGCTGTATTCTGCATGAGCTGCCACACTGTAAGAATTTTATAGTGTATATTTTTCCTGCTGGATCTAGAACTTCTTATGCAAATTCAGGGTATATTTTTCCGGGTCTCGTAGTGTGATGGAGTCTTTACATGTCTCATATCTAGTTGTTGCATTGCCATTTCAGGGTAGGTTGATTAATTTTCTCAGAAGTTTATGGATGCAGGAAACTGAATTTCAGTGAGGTTAGGAACACACCTAGGTCATAAAGCTAGTGATGTCAGGGGAGGCTCCAGGTGCACATGGTGCCAAATGGCCTCTGCTGTTGTCTGTAATAGGTTAAGTTTTTGGATTTTCCATTCTGTCATATGAAACTGGCAGTACTATGACTCATAATTATAGTACATAATGTTTAATACATACACTAAAAAATATGAAGTATGTTCTAAGGCATGATATATTTTTGATATCTTGATATCAAAATAATGATGTGTTACAAATATTTAAATTATAAGTAGCCTTGGAAGTGACATATTGAGATTCAGAGAAGGTAAGTTCCTGAAAATCAAAGATCAAAATGTCAGTCCAGTTGGGTCTCGTACTTAAGTTACGAGAATTCTGAGCTCAACCTATCAACAGTATAAAGATGACAGGGAGCGAATGGTGAAAGCATTGAGAAGATCTGGGTTACTGCAATACTTCAGTAGTCCCACATTCCCTTTGAGGGTCTAACAGCTTATTCATAAAATGGAAACAAGGCTGTCTGTGACACTGAAACTTTCCAATTATGGGCTATATACTATTTGCTTCATGATCAAATGAATGAACGAAGGGCCCAAGGCTTCATGTCACGTGGTCACTCCTTACGCCCAGATAGAATCATATATTTTACATATGGAAAACATAAAGGGCACAATCACAGGGCTAGGCCTCCAGACACATACCTGAAGAGGGTCTGCACGTTCACAATGGTTTTGGCGTCTGCCATGTAGTCTTCCTCTGCACTCATGGTACTCTCTTTGTCCACAACCACCATGTTGGCAGCAAATGTCACTCCACACCTGAGCAAGTCATCTAGGCTTTGATAAAAATCCACAGGGGGGAGAAAAAAGGGCAGCTTTAAATAAACCACAATACTGCAATTAATGTCAAAATTTACTTATTGGTAGGCTTATATATGTTGTCCTTATAGATGAATTTATAAAGAACACAGGTAGACACTAAGGAGAATTATAATTGTGATATGATCTGGTGATATGTGATTCAGAATTCCTCAGATGCCAACTATTCCAAAGCACCAAAGTTTGGAATCTGTCCTGAGTAACATTTATTATACATAAACAGTGAAATAGAAAGTATGATAATGATAACAATTCTTTATTGCAGTTAACGTACTATTTCAAGGACACAACATGACAATTGGTTCAAGTTTCTAAGGAGATTTTTGTGACAGTGTAAGAGGGGCAAAGACTACTAATAGAGATAGTAAAGCTAATGTAGAAATATAAAGGTATGTAATAAGTATTTTTATTTTTATTTTATTTTTCTGAGACAGGGTTTCTCTGTGCAACTTTGGAGCCTTTCCTGGAACTCTGTAGCCCAGGCTAGCCTCAAACTCACAGAGATCTGCCTGCCTCTGCCTCCCAAGTGCTGGGATTAAAGGCATGTGCCACCACCTCCCCGGCTGTGATAAGTATTGTTAAATGTCTATATTTATTTATGCAGGATCTATATGCTACAGATTGTTCCTACACTACAAAGAGAGTAGGATATATATATATATATATATATATATATATATATATATATACATGTATGTGTATATATATGTATATATATCATAAAACTAGAATAAGTTTTGAACAAAGGATTGAATGACCCAAGTTTCTTTGCCTGCATGGGGTGACTAGAAAAACTAAGGTACAAGTACTTATTACCTATTCTAGTCAGTTTCCACTCCTACCCCTGTAAAATGTCTTGAATAGCATTTTCCCTGTAAATTAAAGAAAATGATGTCTACCATTGAGGCTGAAACAGAGCAACTGTTTCACTGTCTTTGCTTTGTATAGACAAAGAAAAAAAGAGAGAGAGAAAAAAAAACCAAATCTAAAAACCAGGACAAAACAAAGTGTGACTAAACTTGACCCAGTACAAGGATGTAGTAGTTACAGGGTTCAGCGGGTTTTCAATAAGAAAACCAACCCAGACATCCCAATTCAAGACAGCAAAAATAAAATGTGAACAACTCCATTCACTAGTGATATTTATTAAAGTTTCCAGAAAGGTCTTTAAAGCACAGGATTGGTTCACATGGCCATGTGCCTCACAGCGGTAGGCATTACCAAGACCTCAACCTAAGACCTCCAGGAATAATCTGGGAAGGAGGGGGGCACAAATATTGTGCTTAAATTTGGAGCAATTTTCTGTGACAGAGATTTTATAGCCAAAACTGTGAAGAAGAAAAAAAGAATTTCATTCCAAATAAATTCACCATGAGCAAAGAGGCCAGAATCACAATATCTGATCAACACAATGATCTTCAAGATTAAATCCCTAGTATATTAGATTTACTTTAGGTATATGGTATTCACTGCACTTCTTGAATTGACTAAACTCTGTTTTAGAAAGCATCAGGCATTGGGGACTCATGCCAGTGGTAATGTGGTTGTCATCATGTGCAACTCCTTGGTTTAAGTAACAGCATCCCAGGAAAAAGGTAGAAAAAGCTGTGGTCCCTTGTGGAGAATATGATGATCACTAAGTCATCTCACTTCTAACCACTTAGTCATTTCAAGTTATTTCCTCATAGTTCATCCTTCAAAAGCTTTTTCTCCATCAGAATTCTCTATTAGAATTTTATAAAAAAAGGGGAACAGAAACTTGTAAGAAGTCAGTTTTACTGATTCAAAGCATAAACAATTTCACAAAACGTATGCTAATGCTAGACAAACACTTTTCTAAGTGGGCTGCTCCAAGTTTGTTGAATCTGCCTCCTCTCAGGTGCATCTGTTGATTCTATCTTTACAGTAGTTCCTATTGTAGTTACTCAGGACCTTGAATTATTGTGTATTAGATAATACTTATGCTTGGGATGATATTAGTGAAACATATAGAATCTTGATGCTCTTCAAGTTTTAATTTTTCTAATTAACATTATAGATTTTTCCAGTAGGCTATGAACTTATTTTTATGAGTCCTGGCTTTCTTTCTCCTCTCTGCTACTTCTCTATTTTGTATCATTTCATAAAGCACTGTTGCTTTACACAGTTCAGCCACCAGATGGCAGCCAATGAAAATCAATCCGAGAGAAACCCTAGAGTTGCTCTAACCTGGGATACCTTTTCCACCAATCCGTGACTCAGTTTTTCTAAGGACCTAGAGTGTGAAATTTGTAAGTGCGAGGAAGTATTCTTGTTCCAAATAGGATTTATTTTTCATGAAAATTTCAAATAAAGCAAACAAGAATTATACAGGGACACTCCATATATAATTCCCTCTCTCATATATACACGTGCATATAGATATGGTGACCCACCTTGAATACTGATTAATCCACAATTAATCAATCAAAGTTCATCTACTCCTTGGGAATTTAATTCTCTATGTTTCCTTTTTGATAACCATTAATATTTTACAGTAGTATTTCATGTTGTTTATCTGGTGATAATTTACATTTTCTGATTAATGGTTTCACGATAGTGTTTATGTAGTTTTATATTTTAGGTTACTGCATTACATAATGACATGCATCATATAATATTTCAATTAAAAAATGATATAATTATGAATTATGAAATAAGAATACATTGTCAAGACTTTTTTACTATTTATATTCCAAGTTATGGTAATGGTCTCATTGCATTGCAATGTGGAACTTTTAAAGTACTATTTGATGCCACTTTAGCAATAATATTACTGCAAAAAAAATGTTGCTTTTGCAAGAGCCACAAGACTGAAAGAGCTTTGCAAATGGTGTGCACCTGACCAGTTTGACATGCAGCAAGGTCTGTTGCAATTCTACAATGAATTACAGCTTAGGTAGTATGATAGGAGATGCACACCACAGGAACATGAGCTCTGCATGCATGGGTCACCATATTTACTGTATCAACACGACAAAGTACACTCATCATGCAGGGACAAGACACAGCACTTGACAGACCACAGGACACTACACTAGTCATGTGCCATAGATATTGTCACCTACTTGTCAATAGAGCCCACCATGTAGTAAACCATTGGAAACCAACAGATTGCATCCAGAAAATGCATATCTGGCCTATGTAGCAGATGGGTTACAAAATGAAACACAGTGTCACAACAGAGTCAGCACTGCTAGGGAAGGGAAGCAAGTTCATTTAGTTTGCATTTCCAAAACCAAAGACAAGATACATCCTAAATGGCTCTTCTGTTTAAGAATATCACTTGCACTTTTCATGAATCACATGATACACTAAGAACTGTGAGTTATAAATCAGAAACATTATGGTATAATTCTACAAAATCCTTTATTAAGACTTAATGTTCATCGATGAGTTCAGTTACCCAGTGCAGAAGAGGATTTGACAATGAAGAGCAAATGGTTTTTATTTTCTCAAATGACCTCAAGCACTACAAAAGCCTCTGAAGAGTAATTAGTAATCTTGAGTATCAAGAGAGCTTTGTCTAAAGAATATACCTAAGGACGGCATGCTCCATATCTCAGTGTGTCAAGTATAAAGTCCATAGATGCATGGAAAAAGTGTGTTATATAAAGTTACATTGACACTATTTCACCTTTAACTCTAATGTCTTACCCAATGCATATTGTTGGACAAAAGTTCATTATAACTGAAATCTTTATTTCTAAGGACAGCAAAAGAACCACAAACTCCAAGCTTGCTTAGAAATCACTTAATAAGTTCCATCCACTTAATAGCTTTTAATTCACACATGTATTCACTCAGCATATACAGACCCAAACTTTATTTAATAAACACTGAAATGTATTTTTTTATATTTAAAAACTGCACTTGATTAATTTACAAGGTATGTAGAATTTTAAATGCATATACAAAATCATGAAAATGCAGTATGTTGTATTCTTCAGAAAAAAAAAAAAAACCACAAAAGCACTGGGTGCACCCAGGAGGAGGACTTGGAGACTATGACAGAGAGGTAATATATACTTTGTGTGTGGACAGATGAGTAGGAATTTGGTAAGTTCAAGAGAGGAGGGAAATTCCGGGTCAAGGTAATGAGGGAGTACTTGCAATTTCCCGGGTGCTGAACCCCGGTTGGATCAGTTCTTTTCCTAACTATTTTCTTCCCATTGATTTCCCTCCTATTTCTTTAAACTCTTAAGAAAAAGAAAGTTCAATATGGTAATATATTAACAAGACCTTCTAAATGATGGTACTTCTAAGATTTTTGACAAAATTCCTCCTGCCATTGAATTTATTTATACAATTGAATGGAGCAATACTTTTACATTGTTTTAATCTACATAATTGAGTTTTGAAAATGTTGAATTATTTAACCCATAAATTGTATTAGCTTTTTTGTAATCATGTCTAGTTTATTTTACATATAACATCCACAGGCACACCTTTAGATGGTTTTGGGGCATCAGTTTTTATTACGATCCCAAGCATCCACAGAGTAGATACTATTGTCAGCATTTAACCATCCTTAAAGTTCTTGATATGTGCTGTTTTCAATCAATATTCTAACATAGGTGTATATATATGTATATATATATATGTATATGTATATACATACATATATATATATATATATATATATATATATATATATATACACATATCTGTGATATCTGTGGGATTTGGGATAGAGTGTTCAATTCTGTTTCTAGACACTTTGTTGCTCCTCATCATTAGGAGGGCAATGTTTTAAGGATCTCAATACACCTAACAATTTTAGAAGCATGTTTATGAACACAAGCACCAAAGACAGGGAAAGATCAAGGGTTTGGATCTGAAAAAAATATTTTTGCTTGTATCTTTTGGGCTAATTTTACATTACTAACCTTTTTGTTTCTGGCTTTTAAAGTACCATTCTTAATTATTAATTGTATATCTGTACATGCGTTATAATGGTATCTATTGTAATCTGCCATCTTCTTTTAGGTTTAGATCATCTCAATTTCTTTACACTATCTCTTTGGGCAATTTTCCCCACTAGGTCTCTAGTCTATGCTTTTCTGAACTATTGTATAACTGAATTATTAAATTCAATAAGAGACTTCAATTTTTCTGAGTAGTAAAGTGTACTCAGGTCATTGGGGGCAAATAAGTCTTTATGCTATAGCTGCCATCATGTGAGATATAAAATTCAAGATGAGACTTTCATAGAATTTTCTCCCTTCTTTGACTGGTAGAGATGGCAAACTTTAATTGTTAGAAGAAAGGCATTTTAAAGAAAACTCATGAATTTTGTTTATGATGTATTTACAACATGTATTTAAAATGAGCCAGAAATTGTTCAAAATTCTTAGAACTTGCCTTTAAATAGGGATTAAACTATTCATCTTCATGTGATTTCAGCTACATAAAGGGAAAATCAAGTATCCTAAACTTTGTAAATACATATTTTTGATGAAACATACCAACTTTAAAGACTTCTCTATGATTTAAAACAAACTAGAAATATATATATATATATATATATATATATATATATATATATATATATATATAACAATTTTTCATTCACATTGTACTTTGTAACTGTTCACTTATCTGTGTTGACAACAGTAGTTACAGCAGCCAGCTACTTAATAATTGAATAACACATAATGGCCAATTTTTCTACTCATTGGGAGACAGTGAATTGGCAAGCATAATTTTACATTGAGAAGCATTATTATTGAGAAACTAAACAAGCACATAAAACATTCATTACAAGTATGTCCCTTGTCTATATTTTATGGTATGTCCCCAAAGTACAATGAAAAGTTTAATATATAAGAAAATTATTAATAAAACGAAATAAAATGGGTGAATTTGTTTTTCTGGCTGCCAAATAGAGAAGCCTATCTGTTCTATTACAGGTGACATCTAAGAAACACGGTGAAAATGATCAAATGACTTATGCATAAATTTCATAAAAATCTATCCATATGAAAAGCTTGTTATTTATACAAAATAGATAAACCAAGATTTTTTACACTTAAAGAAATATTTTAGGGTTTTTTTTTAGTCTAAAAGACAATAATAAAATATTGAAGGAAATAGATGTAGATCAGAATAAATTCATAGTCAAAAGCCAAACAAAAGAGACTAATTAACCAGTTATAAATGAAATAAAATGTCAAAAATTACACAAAGCAGCCAATGTTAATAAGTAGAAGTAAATACACACATTAGCTGATGGCAGCCCTAACTGTAGAGTCTACTAGGAACACTCTCAATATAAAGACTCATATCTTCATAAACTTCATACGACAACAGTTTGTATATTAAAACTCTATGCAGCTCAACATTGCCAGACAGTGAAAAGGTTCATAAATTTTACCAATTTGCAAAACTCAAGAGCACCTTTTCCATCCAATTCAATTAATACACACAATATTTCCACCTCAACATCTAGGAAAGAAAGTAACATATTTTTATGAGTGAAGTTTTATTTCATCAATATTTGACAACTATACTTTTAGGTAATTGATTTATTTTTTTAAATTGTTTGATCAAGAACTATAGAGACAGCTCAGCAGTTAAAAATACTGCCTGCTCTAGCAGAGGACCTGAATAATTCCCAGCACCCGTATGGCAGCTCACAACTCTAATTCCAGGGCCTCAAACCCCATCTTCTCCCCTTTGTAGGCTCCAGTCAGGCAAGCATTGCACAGAAATACATGCAGGCAAAACACTTGTACACCTATAATTTTTTAAAATGTTAAGATTAGTCGCAAGTGCTTAATATCAATGTGTATGTGTTCGTGTATGTGTGTGTATGTGGTGTGTGTTCATGTGTGTGTGCATGTGTATGTGTTGCTAGTGTTCAAAGCTAGGGTCTCTCACATGCTAGGAAAGCATTCTTCCACTGAAATATATCTCCAGACTGCGTTTTCTTATCAATTGGGTTTTTACATAAGACCTTTCATTAATTTAAATAGTAACAATGTTAATTTTTTTAATAGAAGATCTAGAATGTCTGGGCTGTCACGTATGTCAGATCTTGTCCTAGTATGCTACCTATATTGTCTAAGTCTGGGAATAATTTAAATTTTCTTACCATTTTCAAATTAAAGGAAAAAATGAGATGAGGCCACAAGAATAAATATGGTCCAGGCTGCTCTAGATGTTAATCTTAGATCTCATCTTGTCTGCTTGAATCAAAAGCGTACATTTCTATAGGATAAGGGTGGGTGATTTATCATATATTTTAGCAATAGTTTGTAAATAAGCTAAAGTGTTTAGGTACTATATGCAAAGATGTTGGTTGATTTAATAAATAATCCGTGTAAAAATTAAGGGCACCAACATGGATCTGGAACATCTTTTTATTTTGGTTTTTCAAGAGAGGGTTTCTCTCTGTAGTCCTGGCTGTCCTTGAACTCCCGTTGTAGACCAGGCTGGTCTCATACACAGAAAGATCTGCCTGCCTCTGCCTCCCAAGTTCTGGGATTAAAAGTGTGCACCACCACTGCCTGGCTACCCCATACCATCCTGAATGCACCTGAATTTGTCTGATCTGGCCCTTTTTTGTCTAACTTTGGGTAATATATTCCAACTTTTACTGCCTCCTAGATTCCAGCTGGATGACCTTTAAGGTAGTGGCTATAATAAAAACACGTGGAATCTTTCCAGCACCACATGCCAAGGAGAACTGATGTCACTCTGATGAACTGTGGACAGGTCAGAGTTGTTTCGCAGGGCAACAGAAAAAGATGATTTCAATATGCTAGGCTCTCATTTGATAACCATTGAAATGTGCAAGTTTTTCTATTTGGAAGTATTCTGCACATCTATTCCGTACTACAATGTGTTGAGATGATTAACTGGATTCACATTTTAATATTTCATATTTATGGCACTTCTGTATTTTATATGGAATTAATTTTGTCTTTTTGATTAATTTATCTCCATAGTCAAATTTTGCCTTTTTGATTAATTTATCTCCATAGTCATTCACTCAATATTAGCTTCATCACTGCTCATGTAAACTTGGTCAAATCCTCAAAATTAAATAATGCTTGCCAAAGTATAAAAGATCATGATTGTAAAAGTTATTGGAGTTTGGATCTATTTAAGGGAGCAAGGCATCATTTTATGTAATTTGGTAAAATAAATGAAGAACAGAAGTCATTTCAGAGCAACAGGTGTTTCATTGTTTCAAAAGGGGAGAAAAGATTGCATAGAGTTCCCGGGAGCATCAGTTCAGTTTGTGATTTCTCGTTCTTCATCAAAGGAACGTAGATGAGTAAAAATATTCGATGTCACTTTTGAGACACACACAGGAAGCTCAGGTTTTATATTATGTCCTTGGAATTTAGTAAATAAATTGAAATAATCATAATATTTAATGTATATTAATAAAATAACCATGTTAAACTTAAAATTATGCTCAGCAGAAATCCACAAACAACAGCACCATGTGGAAATTTATAATCCAAACTGTCAACAATTGGTAAAGGTGATATATTTTCAATGGATAAGTATCAGAAGTTAATCTGAATTGTGGCCTATAAAACTAACTGAAAAAATGTATACTGTTCATACATCTGTAACAAAGCCTATAAGTTAGGTAAAATACAGAGGAAAGAACAATGCATTAGTTGTGGCAGAGCTGGACCTAATTCTAGAATTGACCATGGGAACTTTACCTGAATGTCATTACATCTTTAGCTCTGCTCCATATCATTGACAACAAAAGTTTATTCAAATGTTTCAATTAAACACAAGCATTAAGACTCCCAAATCCCTGAGTACATCTCTCTGGTGCCATGATTTCTATGTAATATGAATATATAAACATAAAAAAATTAAAATGTCAAATATGATGACTCATAATGAATACTCAACATTCACTACTATTACAAACTATGAGCACATCAGCTTTCTAAATTAATCTCCATGGTTTCATTCAGGGAAGATAGTCCTGAAAGGCCATATGCACACAGAAATCGTGACCTTAAAAAGAAATAGTGACCTGTCAATAATCCAGAGAAGGGAGTTTTCAGATGTTTTGTGTGATTAGTCACCTTCAGGAAGTAAGACTATACAAAGAACCACAGAACTATATAACCCTGATGAATGAACTGATACTCTAGGAACCAGAAATGTTAATGACTTTGTATTCAAAATCAAATAGTGTGGGATGGCTGGGACCATGTTTGATAAGACAATGAGATAAAGGGGAATAAAAGGCTGAGTCAAGATTACTTCATAAGACTGGAGACTGAAAATGAGGAGTATACCTCTCTTCCCTAAGAAGAACATCACCCCTAAATTTGGAGAAAATGCATATTTTTAGGGAAGTTAGGGAAGAGTTATGTATCAGAAACCCAAATTTTATATTGAAATAACATGAGGAAGAGGACAGATCAGACCACTGCCAGAGGATATTCTGAACACAGTCCCACTTCTTTCTTTTGAAGGTTTTTCCTTCTTTATTTCTATAACTGGGGGCTTTAACTGGGTCAGCTTGACCTAGTCATTCAAATTGAGGACACTATGACAGTCTGAAATGCCCATTTTAAATTCTGTTTGTAGTGTTATGAGGGCAACCTATAGAAAAACAACCACAAACTGAGCACTTTACTTAGTTAACTGAAGGGTCTGTATTACCAACTTAGAGGCCCGGAAGTTTCCCTATGGAGAACTTCCAGGATTCAGAGTGTATTGAAAATACTGGGGAGGAGCCTGACGATCCTTCTATTGTTAATGCTATCCTACATGCTGATTGTCACGCTCCTGTTTTTGTTTTTGTTTTCCATATACTTCAATGTCTTCTAACACTGTGCTTATGACAACCAATTTATTTATAGTTACAGTGAAGGGCACTATAACTTTAAAATAAAATGACTTTGACCATTTTATTTAGGGACCTATGTACTCATCTGTAAGATTTTCAAAATGCTTAAGTGGTCATATTTAACAGAGTAAGTCATTCTAAAATTTTCCCGACATACACATGCGATACAGCACAACTTGTTTTTTGTTATTGTATGTGAACATTAGCATAAGTAAAACACACAATGATATTCCATGGTATAACACACAAAAGCAGATCAATAAATGCTTCTCTGATAATAAATGGTTAAAGAACAAAACTGTACAATTTTGGCAGGCATCTTCCAGGCTTGTTGTTTAAATAGAGGAAATTTGCGATAGATATTTCAGTGGCTTCTTTCCACTGGTCCTATGAGTAGATGACCATTTGCATATTAATTTCAAATAAAAGTCTCCATTTCAATGACATTTAAGTAGGATTGGTGAAACACGATCATGATCAATAATGTTTTGCACCATAGCATATACTCTATCTCCCAATGAATTCTGCACCATAATGTATCTGATTTAAAGTAGTATCAGTAAATTTAAGTAAATTATTTTAATGTACAGTAAAATTAAAAGTTCTGTCTGTTTGTGTATCTTAAAATATACTTACGGGTTATCCAATAGCAGAACTATGGGATTTAATTCTTTCTTTGGTCTATAATATGCCCTGAGAGGTACAATAAAATTATATAATCCATTTCCAGCTGTTTCAGCTGCAACTATAATTAGTTTATTTTTGAATCCATAGGCTTTTGCGTCCTCATAGTAGTTATGCTGGCAACTCTAGAGAAGAAAAATTATACAAAGAAATGCCATTTTTATACTCCAATAAAATTTGGTCAAAGAATTTAGGATATATGGTTATGTAAAATTGATCTAACTAATTTTCTAACAGATTGGAACATAGTTACATTTGTCGTTGCCTAGTTCTCCAACCTGATGTAGGAAATAAACGTGTGATGAATAATTCAAAGGAGAGGGAAGTATACAACGTGATGCTGAAAGAGGACTGTGTGTGTACGGGCTGCACGGCAAGTTAAAAGTTACAGTTGTATAGCCACTCAGTGTCTGCTTTGCTATAGCATAGGCACGTGACTTCCATTTCCAAAATAGATTGATGTTATGATTAAAAAGCCTCAGGAATATTCCCATTCCTAGGTACCTAAAATCATGCAATTAAAAAAAGAAAATAAAACAGAAAAGCCATACAAGAAGAAAAGTGAGCTATTGAAGTGCATAGAAGGGCTAAAGTGTAAAAAGCAATACACAAGAAACAAAGCGCAACACTTGATCAGAACTCATCACAAGAGCTGCAGTGAGCACTAAGTTGTTGGAAAAACTGACTCAATTGCTGAGAGATCAGACTCAGAAAAAACTAATTAACATTACTAAATCAAGACTGTTTTCAAGCTAAATTATCTGTATACTTAGCAGCTTTCGCAGTTTTCTTCATTATTATACACCTCTACACAAACTTCTTTTTGTTTACCTGGATTGATATTAGTTAGTTCTCTAGTGTGTTCCTTACCTATGAAGCATCCATGCCATTATTCTTTAATAAAATTATTTTTTAAATGGTGGAAATGAAGCACCATGTGTGAAAAATGATAGGAACAATTAAATCTATAAAGACTACAGATGTGGATGTTATGAGAGTCACAAAATAATATGCAATATGTTTAAAGAAATAAGAAAAAGCACTTAAAGAATTAACAAAATCCTATTTAATATCCAAGACAGTTGTTTCAATGTGTTATATTTATTTTTATATATCCTTTCAAGCTGAGCAATGTAACCCAAAAGTTAATACAGAGCTGAAGATATAGGTCAGTGGTATAGCTCAATCTGAGCATGTATGAAACACCAAGTTCAAATTCCAATAGTGAAAAAAATTCAAATAATTTATCAACTACAGAATAGAGATGAAATATCATCCCAAATTGAAAATACAGGACAAAAAATAAAAGCTAGAAACTGAAATAGAAATCAGAAACCTTATTCAAATAAACACTGAGGATTTTCTAGAAGTGACCAAGTCACAAAATGCCCAAAAGTCAGTGAACCCTAATCCAAATGAATAGTCAAAATTGCATAGTCCTACACATTATTATGAAAGAATGGAACAGCCAAGATTACAGGATATTAATCAGCCAAGGAAAAAGAGTGATTAGCTGCAATGGATAGCAATGAGATTGATGGCTATTTACAGTAGTCAGAAGGACAGAGACATGGAAGAAAGAAACTATTGTAGAGTTGGAAACCAAGCAAACTATCCTTCCAGGATAAAGGTAAAAAGAAAGACATAATGAGAAACTTTGTGAACTACCTGATCTCACTTGCAGAAATTCCAACAGCTGAAAATGAGGCCATAGGAAAATGATTTAGGAAAGCAGGAGAAAAATATCTAAAGAAAGAGAACAGTAAAGGATATGGGCATCAAGTCTTCATAGGATGGCGGTTCAAAAACTTTTTAGTTCTGATAATCAAGATCTACAGCCATACAAAGAAATAAATAGTGTCACTAAGAAAGGGGTTGGAGAATACTGATGGGTGAAGGATTAGAACTGCAACACCCATGAAATATCACAAGGTAAGAGAACTATATGGCTTATGAAGACATGGAAGGGACACAGTCATTAAGAAAATCCAAGGAGACAATGCAAAGGTAATGTTGAAACACCTTGGCCAGAACAGTCAATTGACACTGGGACAGAATGATAATGCAATCCCAATCCACACACTTCAAGACACAGTGGAGCCAACTGATTAGTGCCATCCCATAATCCCAAAGTAAACTTCAATTTTCAGAGCAGACCCTATTATATCAGCCTGATATTACTCAAATATCCAATAATCTCCTCTATAGCTGTGAATCAATAAAACTACATAATTTTCCTTTATTAATGGAGCAAAACATTGTTAATAAACTGCTTTTAAAGATTCTCTACTGGGCCCCTAATCCTCTTCTTTGAGAGCTGAGCCTTACAACGAGAATTAGATCAGTTGCTTGGAGATAATTCACTTTTACTCTTTTGGTTTCCTGATCCCCCTTGCCACCTCCATAACTATATATTTTTTAATAAGAAGTAGTTCCACCAATAATGATTCCAGGCATCACGGTCCTTAAAATATATGCTAAGAATCTTATTGAAGGAAAACTTCAAAATACTCTACTTGAAAAGAACATGGCTCAGGAAAATGTAGCCGTGGAAGGAGTCAATGCAGGTGAATAACATTGTTGAAATCCATTAAATTAGCAACACAAAAGAGTTGACCAGTAATATAATATGCTTCAAAAATTAAAAAAAGGACATCAAACTAATAAGGCCCTGAGAAATAGAATTCCCGATGAGAATGGAACTACATGGGATACTTAGGCACAAGAGAAAGATGCACTGGCCAGCTTCAGATAGATAAGGTTTGGAGCTTACAAATATTCTTTCAATATTCTTCAAGAGCAGCAACAGACAACATTTGTAACAAAGAAAACAGCAAGAATATTAACAAAATGAATGGAAACCGGACTTAATAATTAACTGCCTTCACTTAAATATACTGACTAACAGAACCCTTCTAAGAGCACTGTGGAGTTCATTGCATTAAAATTATGTTCATTTTACAGATAAGAGAGCTGAACTTTTATGTGTGAAGTGATTTTCTTAAGTTGTACAGGCTATGAAAGGTACTGGCATTATAATTTTAACCCCAAATAAAGAATAAATGAAGAAATCCTTGTTTAAGATTCAGGGCATGCTCGAATCTCTTTCGGGTGTGCAATGTTTCACTTTAACCTGTTTCCTCATTACTCAGGAGGATAAAATTAAAGAAAAGGATGAAAATATTCACATTCTCAGACTGTTCTGTCCTGAGTAAATTCTTTAGAGAGAGAACTACATAAAAAATGTGGGAAGGAGATATGAGGCAAGACACGGAGATCAGCTTCAGTCTACTCATAAATGTACTTTTCTCATTTAGTCAAGAGATTTTTTAAAGAAAATATATATCTAATATGCTACCAACCACAAATTATAATTAAATAATAACCAAAAAATGGTTTAAGAGATTTGTGCCTCTGTCTTCCCTTTTAAAAAACATAACTAATTTGGCTAATTAAGTAGAAGGATAAAATATTTGTGGCATTTTTTTTAGTGAGGATAAAAAGTAAAATTAACCATTTTATATAACCGAGTTTATATGTTAAGTAATACACTTTCAATATATTTTGGTCAAATAATATAAAATTATTTAAATATGTTCAATAGCTCATGCTCTAATTTTATTATTTGGGGCAATCACATCAATAGGAAACCATTACCTTGTCTAATCTTAAGCAGCAGAAGGGTACTTTTTCTTGAAGTAGGTGACAAAAAGTAGGTGAACTTCCTATGTATGGAGAGTAAGGAGGGTAGCCCTTGGCATATCTGGAAAGCAATAGGAGACGTTAGTCCTGGAGGTGTCAAGGAAGGCTGGAACCCTCAGATGTGACCCTTAACTACTGCTTGATCATGTTAGAATCAGTAAAGCCATGCTTCCATCATATTATGAAAATCACACAGTTTAGGAAAAGGGAGGCAAATTATGATGAAATATGACTCATAATAAAGTTTTGAGACCTATATTTTTAAATAGCAAAAAAAAATTCTTGTCATGTAAAAATTACATGAAGTTTGAATTTTCCACTCATGAAATCAGCATCATTGGACCACAGTCATTAACACTCACGTTGAACTCAGTAATGGGGCATTTGTCTTTGATTCACCTAGAGAAATGAGTAACTGCAACAAGAAACATAAATACGGGACAGTTCTTTCTTTCTAGAAAACATTTCTCAATCCTCATCCTGGGAGACACAAACATGGATCCATAACAAATAGTAATATTATGCCTTACAAAGTGTATTTAAAGCAGACTGCATTATGACATTTTGCTGTATCAATATTCATTAGCCATGCACACATAACTAAAGTAGAAAAAGTAAGTTAATTAGTCAAAAACGGGATTTTTTTCCCTAGAATTGTTCTTAAAATATTATCAAAGACATTTAGTTTGTTTACTGACTTTTAAAAACAGCCACCTGCACATTTTGGCTACACCAGTGTGGAACATGGAACTTCTAAAGGGCAGAAGCATAAATGTTAATTAGCAAATAAAAGGAAAGTACTTGAAGCAATATTTTCTCATCCAAAAGGGAAGTTCTTGATTTGTGATAACTTTTCCTGAGACGCCAATGAAGTTAAGACATTGTTGAAAGTTTTTTTCTAGACACTATTGTTTGGGAGATTAAATTGTGCACATTTTATAAATTTAGAAGCTGCAATCATCATTGTTACTTTAATATCTCATTGATTTTCCTATAAAACACTCCTTTTTACTACTCCATGGTTTAGAAATCTAAAAATGAGTTTCATTCACACTTTAAAACATCATTTCCTAGAAGGATGGTTGCCCATTCTGCTGGTTTCCCCTCCTGTATTCTACAAATGTACTTGAGTATTTGGACCACAGAATTCTTTAAGACAAGATTTTGTCTACAAGCACATTGACATTTTCTGAAACAAATACAAATTGTGGATGAGTTTAAAGTTATTTTTTCTGAGTTTCAATGACAGCTCAGTTTTAGTTCAATAAAGTACTGAATGAATTTATATGAACTCTGTGAGACATGATCAGCGATGACTGGCCTGATACCGCTAGTCCCAGTGACAATACTTGTAATAACTAATGCCGTTGGTTGCTTGGCACAATACACTTTTCTCCCATCATTTCAATTAGGCTTTGCATAATGCAATGAAGGGGCAATCATACATGATTTACAGATAGAGAAATTGAAGTCAGACTGCTTATTTGCAAACAAGTATTATAAGATGAGTCTGGGATGGCAAATAAATCTTTTGAGAGAACAGGACAATATATAGACTCCTGTTCTTTCAGCTTTCCTATGGCAATATAATGCAGAGGATAACACATGTAAACATCTATGATAGGCTTAAATGTGATGACTATTATACATGTAGAGAGTAGAAACTTAATAAAAGGTGGATATGTCTTGCATTTGTAAATTTAAATTATGTCTAGCTTCCGAATAAAAAAAATGAATGCTAAAGGGTGAAATGAGAAAATACTTTATTTGAATATATCATTGGATAAATTTTTGAACTTCATGATGGTTAATCCTGCTTGTCAACTTGACAGGATTTCAAATAACCTAGGAAATATATTTATAGATGAGGATGATTCCAACGAAGTCTAACTGATGTGAAGAGACCCACATCTTAGGGGCCGAGTCCTACACTTAACAAAAAGGAGAATGTCGGTTGGGCACGAGCATTCCACCCAGTCACTCCCTTCTACCTGAGTGTGCAATGTGACAAGCCATCTTGTTCCACCTTGCCTACTCTGTCATGATCAAATGTAATCTCAAACTGTGATCCAAAATAAGCATTTCTGTCCTCAGGCTGCTTTAGATTTTGTTACAACAGTAAGTGAAGTCACCATTGCAAACTTCAAGTTAGATGTGAATAAAAGAAATTAAAGATAAAAGGGCAGAAGAATGAAATGCAACTTTGAAAATGCAATTTATATTACACAGAAACAAAATTGTATATTTTTCCATTAAGTATAAAAGATAATTTAGAAAAAAACGGGCTGGAAGAATACATAGAAGGCAGAAAATTGATGTTTTATAATACTCTGTGGTGAGAAAATGGTTAATACAAGAGTGTTTCAGTAGAACCACGGAGTGACGATTCTAGGTTATCCAGAAGGAAAAAACATTGTCTCCTTCCATAATTTTAAGGCTCTAGAAGACTTAAGTCCCACCACTAGATGAAGAACAGTAGGCAATTAATGGCATGAGAATGAGTCTTCTCCAATAATGAACCACCCGATGGGTTATCCAATCCCAAGTGGTCAGTCATAAGCACATGGATTTATAAACAACACTAAGTAGAATCCACAGAATGCTTATATATGTATATATATATATATATATATATATATATATATATATATATATAATGTTTATATATGTAAAAATAATTATTAATGAAGAGGTCATAACTTTGAGAGGGAAATGTGAGTGCATGGGAGGAGTTGGAGGGTGAAGGAAATGGAAATTGTATAAATAATGTATCTATGTATGATATTCTCAAAAAATTAAATTAAAAAGTGTCAGCAATCCTCCCAAAACAAACAAACAAACAACAAAAATTCCTTAGAAAATCAAACCTACTCTAAATTTGAAGAAGTTTCTTCATCTGGTGTAGTTTCATCTTCTGATTGGTCACTTAGAAGATCACATGTCTGAATTGATGATGAATCTGCAACCTCTAAAACAGGAGCAATACTAGGTCTTCTTAATTCTTTGCTTCCTTCTGAAGGAAGAGCTAGGGTAGGGCCACTTGCTGCCCTACAGCTTGTGTCTTGCAAGTCTATAGCCACAGTACCTAAAACAAAGAAACATGAAAATCCATTAGGAAGTTTCTACTACCTGCGACATAATTATTACTTGGTGGTGAAGCTGAATGTAATGCAATCACATTGCTAGGGGGTGGCTTTGTGTGTGTGTCTATGTGTGTGTGTGTATGTGTGTTTGTTTGTCTGTCTGTCTGTCTATCTGTCTGACTAATTTCTCTTGAATCTCAATACAATTTGGTTCTCTTTCAGGTAAACATTTCACTGGGTAAGAAATCTTGTACGTATAAATGTATATCATAACTTATATTTGGGGTCAGCCAAACACAGTAACACACCTTTAACTCCAGCAGTCAGGAGGCATATGCATGTTGCTATCTGTGAGTTCAAGGGCAATCTTATCCGCATCGTGAGTTTCAAAGCTACCCAACAAGACCCTGCCTCACGAAAATTATTTGTTACGGATGTAGTTTCAGGTGATGTGAGTTTAGATCCAAGTGTAGAGATATGAGAGGCAGTGAGGCCTTTAAGAGACTTGGTCTCTTGTGAAGTCCTGATGGGAAGTCGAACACTGAGTCATTTCAGTGTATGTGCAAAGATAATGATGGTAGTTACTAAAAACTACACCAGAGGAGAGCACCTAAGACAACTCTGTTGGAAAAGGAGGTAGGTTTTCTAGAAAGAATGAAATATTTTTGCTGTGTTTCAGTTTGGTTTTGGTTTTTAAGTCATTTACATTTCATAAAACTGATTTATTGAGGCAAAGGAAAGCTATCTGGTATGCTGTTATCTTAAAGTTGTAGAAATGAGTGCATATCTACTACATTTACCCCTATAGATGATCATGCAGCCTTCTAGTACTTCAGAACAAGAAAAAAATATGGCATCTCAGGATTCTTTTCAGGACTGTGTGTGTCAAAAACAAATTGAGACACTCCTCCCCATCAAAATATACACTCGCTGGGCGGTGGTGGCGCACGCCTTTAATCCCAGCACTTGGGAGGCAGAGCCAGGCGGATCTCTGTGAGTTTGAGGCCAGCCTGGGCTATCAAGTGAGTTCCAGGAAAGGCGCAAAGCTACACAGAGAAACCCTGTCTCGAAAAACCAAAAAAAATATATATATATATATATATATATATATATATATATATATATATATACACTCATCGATCTCTCGCTCTCTCTTAGTTTCAATTAGAAGATAATACATATATCTTTCTTCATAGAAAACTGCTCCAACATTGTGTGTTAAATACTTTCTCACTTTCAAAGGGATATTTTCATAATCTTCTTGCCAATAGATCTGACTGTACATCACCTCCAAATACCTAGTTGCTATCTTTCATACCACAGGCAACATATAGACAGAAGCATGCTCTGTTTTGTCTATTATCAGTTATCCTGCCAATACTGATATCTGCCAGTAGTTTGGGTCCACAGAAAGAGCATGAGTAGTTTTTAATCCTTCAGGGAGATCTGAAAAAGCAGTTAGATCTGCAAAAAAACAAGACTTTCTTACAATATCTTTTTCTCTAAAAAATGCTTTGTTCTTTCTGAGGTCTTCTGCTCTACTCTAAAGAGGTCACCTGTGGTTTTGAGGTGGGAAAAACTCTTTATTTTTGTCACTGACCATTTCCTTTATCTTTTGTGAAAATCCATTTTTTTGGATCATAGGTTTTCAGACTATAGGATCTACTGTATTTAATTTATTCATCAACTTTATTCTATTCAATTGTTTCTAGATGAATCTCATGCTATGTTTAATAGTTGGCTAAAGCTTTCATAAAATCATGGAATAAACTAGATGCCATGGCAGAGATTAATTTCTCATGGTTCTGAAGGATAAAGTTTCAGAATAAAGGTCTTCACATTGTTGTGATTTTTTTCTGAAGATGCTGAGGGATATATCTGTTCCAGGTGTCATTCTTGGGTTGATGATTGACATCATCTCCATCATATTTTCACATCAGTTTCCTGTATGTGTGTCTATGATGTATTTAATCTTTCCTTCAGTTCACTAGTCACATGAAAATAATATTAACTCTAATGATCCCATTTTAAATTTATTTCTTAAAAAAACTCGTATCTCCAATAAGGTTATATACTATGACACTGGGGTTTCAGGGTATGAGTTTGGGATGATAGTCACAAATTTCACATAATACTATTTGTGTCTTGTTGTGGAATATTATTTTAGATGTGATACATTTGCTTATGCTGTGGAACACTTGTTTAATGATGCAAAGATGTGTTGTATTCTTTTATGTTGCAGTTGTTTAACTCTGTGAAGCTGTGTGACTTTGCCTGTCTAAAACACCTGATTGGCCTAATAAAGAGCTGAATAACCAATAGCAAGGCAGGAGAAAGGATAGGCGGGGCTAGCAGGCAGAGAGAGTAAATAGGAGAAATCTGGGAAGAGAGATCGGGAAGCAAGAAAAGAAGGAGAGGAGCACATCAGGGGTCAGTCATCAAGCTACACAGTCAGCAACAGAGTAAGAAAGAAAGGTATATAGAAGAAATACAGATAAAAGCCCAGAGGCAGAAGGTAGATGGAATAATTTAAGAAAAGCTGGCTAGAAACAAGTCACGCTAAGCCTGGGCATTCATAAGAAAGAATAAGCTTCGTGTAATTTATTTGGGATCTGAGTGGCGGGCACCCTTAGAGACAAAGAGCAAAGAGCCAAATGAGTAAAAAGAAAAAAATAAATCCAGGATTTTAAAATTACAGATCAATAAATTTCCCAGAACTGTATCTCTGACTTCCTTGAGGTAACTGAGGTTTATCTGTCATCATATTTTCTCCTCTTTTTTAACTTTTTAATTTTTTTGTGTGTATGTGTGTACACATGTGTATGAATGTGTGTGCATATTTGTATGTGTACAGGCACACAGTATATGTGGGTGCACTAACAAGTATATAAATGTATGTGGAGGCCAGATTTCAAAATTATTGTTCCTCGGGAGTCTCTTTTCTTGCTTTTGGGGATAGGGTACCCACTTGGTGAAGCTCAACAATAAGGGTGAGCTGCCTGGACAATGACCCTGGGGATTTACTTGTCTCTGCCTCTTCAGCACTGGGACTACAAGTCTGTGTTAGCATGTTCAGCTTTTTCATGTAGATTCTCAAGATCAAAATCAAGTTCTCATATTTGTAAAGCAAGCATTTTATGCACTTCTCACAATCTCTCAGCTCTTTGCTTCCATTTAGACATCAATACAACTAATGACAATGCTTACTGCATTTATTCCACACATTTCAGCCTGTGACTGGCACAATTTTGTGACTTTCTGTTATCAGTCTTAACCACAGTCATGGATTGAACCCACTGGAAATTCAAGTCAGTTCTATGACTGTAGATTGGGGTAAAGACAGATATAAGGGGCATGCAATTTGAAACCACATCTGAAGCCCACCATTTTGAGGAATTTGCAGGGGATTAAAATCATGAAGCTCAATAGGATATGCGTATGTATTGTATTGGGTATGTATGGAAGGGTGGAGAAATAGCAGTGATTTATGGGAGGGATGGTGTTAAGAATAATAAAGATAAATCCAATTCAAGTTAAATACCCCAAAAAAGAGAAGAAAGAGGGCTTACTGAGCCAGTGAAAACAATGGAATTACATAAAGGGAATGGCATATATTCCTTAATACAAGGGATTTTACACTTATAGGTTTGTAGGTGGTTTAGTGGAAAACTTTAATGAATTTCATTTTAACTGGATGTTTATTATTTCATTTTTTGTGTCATAAATGCCAAAATAAATGATGAGAGTAAGATGGAGTGAGTAAGTTTTGAAAGAACAGAAAACATTGGAAATACTCCCAACCAACTATTGTATAGATAATTAAAAAGAAAAACATACAAGGCAAGCACTTAAAATCAGAAACAGAAAGTCATTATTGAATACTTTTTTGGTAATCTTGCATTGTTCTTACATCAACAGTTTAGAATTTTGATCTATATTATGTGATCAGACATGGTTTATAATATACAGAAACAAGTTTTGAACCTGACTATGAATCTTTAGTAATCGAGATGTGTATTTCTATTAAAAAACAAAACAAAACACTAAAGGTAATTCCAGCGAGTATGTACTGACCCATGCTGGCAATGATGCTGTGGACAGGTAATCTGGAAGGTCCATGATAAAATGACCTTGACACATTGCTTTTTCTCTGCTGGTCTTGGTTCTTAAATGCTGAATTTTCTTCTTTGGTAATATTAATATAAAAACATATGTCTGAAGAATTCATAATGTATCGAGGACCTGGATTCAGCAAAATGTTTTTATTATCCTCCCTCCTAACACCAATCAAGCAGACACCAAACCTTAATTTAAAAGAAGAATATAAGAGTTTAAGAATTACAATTTGGAAAAGATTTAACTTTTTGTTCTTTTAATTGCTTACATTTGTAAGAAAGTTGATCTACTATAAGCAAACAGAACAAAATAAGAACATCAAATAATAGAATTAGGAAGCTTGAGAGGATCCTAACATTTAATAATCTAATTTTCAAAGGAAAAAATCAATTAAATTTAATCTGTCATAAGCATTATGCCATATATATGTATATATATATATATATATATATATATATATATATATATATATATGAATGACAAAGTATAGGACAATGTAAAATATTAGACTGCTGGTCATAAAGTAGTGGTAATAGTGTTTTATATTTTTAAGATAACCACTAATGTCAAAATTATGAACAATATTTCTTTTTTTAATTTTTTTTTTTAATTTTTGAGACAGGGTTTCTCTGTGTAACAGTCCTGGCTGTCCTGGAACTCACTTTGTAGACCAGGCTAGACTTGAACTCAACTCACAGAGATTCACCTGCCTCTGCCTCCCAATTCTGGGATTAAAGGCATGTGTTACCACCACCTGGCTGAACAATATTTCTTACCTTGCTCAAAATATTTATAATCTATTGGCATAAGGGAGACTTTCATGAAATGTCATGTGAAAAGTAAGTGATGAGTCTGAATCACCCTTGCTATGACTTCAACCACATCTCATACATTCAGCTTTAAAAAGAAACATTTCAAATAGTCTTCAATGGTTGCACATGTTCAGTAGGAGAAATTAAAAATGTTGAGAGTAATATTGTATTAAAATATTTCTTATTGTTCTTTGGTAATGTTCTTTCTTATCATTTATATATTTTTGTTTTATGTGCTTTGGCGTTTTGTCTGCATGTATGTCTGTGTGAGGGTGTCAGATCTTGGAGCTATGGACAGTTGTGAGTGGCCATGTGGGTGCTGGAATTGAACCTGGGTTCTCTGGAAGAGCAGTCATTGGTCTTAACTGCTGAGCCATCTCTCCAGCCCCTCCTTTAGTAATGTTCTAACTTTCAAAATTCATCTTAAACCCACACAGAGTAAGTCAGTCAAATTTAAAATGTATTTAGTAGTAAAGTATGTATAAGTAGAATCATTGAGAATAAAATTTGAATACATTATGTATTAGTTAAGTGGAATATATTGTTATAAAGTGCACAAAGAGATACCTCTTAAATATTTTTATAGTGATAATTTTTGATATACATTTTTATTCCTTAAGAAATTAATTTTGTCAAAAAAGGAGAAGAAAAAAATTCCCCTGGCTAAACTAGAATGTATAATTCCTTTTGGACAATGGAAGGGCTATAATTAAATTAATGTTTATTTATTTTTTAGATAATTATGTGTTATTTCAGAAGTGAAAGCGGAAAATAAGTAACCAAGATTATGTTTGTCCACATAGTGAGCTTGAAGCTAGCTTAAGATACATGATACCCAGACTCCAAAGACCAAAGGGGGAAAATGTGATTTTTTTTCTTTCTCCTTTTGTTCTGTTATTTTCAAGTGTTTTTGTTATTATAAATATAAACAAAACTAAACATCACTTTAAATTTGATTTATGTAACAATATTCATTGTTGTAAGGTTGTTAATTCTTATTTGGCTAGGATATTATGAGGATCACAGATGTGGTAGAGTATTCCTTACATATTTTCCTCCTGGTAAACTAAACTTATAGATACTACAAAATTTATAGTTAAATTAGAATAAAACCGATGCTAAAAGTTAAAACACTTGAAACTCATGAGCACCAATGTGGACCGCACTTTGGAAAACTGTTTGAAACTGGTCTGATTGACTGGTTGATGAAATTCTCCACTGGAAGCAGAAACATACTTTTTGTGTGCATGGAAAGAGGCATAGGTAAAACTCTTCCCTTCATATTCAGCAAAAAATGTACTTTCTTCCAAAACGATGTGATAGACTTCATTTCCAGAGCACCTCCCGTACATCTTCTGCCACTGTTCTGGAGACTGTTGCCCTTCTCTGCAACATAAGCACACACACATACACGCAGAGGAAAAGACAGTGAATTTAGGTAAATGACAGCAGAGGCCAGACAGCCCATCCCAAAGGCTAAGAACCAGCCAACACAATTAGAGGAGTTACTCTCATGGGGCTCTGAGTTCAGAATGATGGCATTACATTAAATTAAATTCAGCACCACATATAACATGAAAACTTGATGAACAGTGTGTTGGTAGAAAGTGGAATTTGACAAGACTCAATGTTTGAAGTATTTGTTCTGGCCATGGCTTCATGAGCTCAGGCATTTATTTGATTTCCTCCCTGTTTGTGGAAAGGCTGCATCCATGTCCAAGGTGCAGAATTTGTTTCATTGTCTTTGTCATATAGCTAAATTTACCTTACAACACAGATTGACGCTTACAGATACCTAATTTACTTCGTGTTTAAAATTGTGTTTCTCAGGACATTAATTTGAGTTTGCAAAAGTATATAATGTTAACTTTTGTCCATTTTATAACTGAGGCTCCCCCAAGCTGTGTATACCTCAAGAAAGGACAAATATTTGTGAAACACACTTTTCCATAAGGGTTCTAGGAATAGATTTGATATTTATTCCCCTTCAAAATGCATGTGTTGCTTCCATTCATGTGGTAGCATTTGTGCTTAAGGCCGTTGGGGGTAGGTAGGCAATAAGAGTAACACCAGCGTGGTTTAGAACCACCATCAGTTCTGAAAAGCTAGCCTCCTCTTCCTACTATATAAGAATGCAGCCCAGAGTCAGAAATCGACAACTCAGAAGGACCTGATATGCCAGAATCTAAATTTTAGACTAAACTCCTGAAATATGAAAAATAAAGTTTTCTTGTGTATAAATTACTCACTCTTTGACAACTTGTAATAACAATTAAAAATTGACTAAGATGGTATGCAAGAGGTATGCTAAAGGTACTTATTAAAAGAAGATATGTACATTAAGAAAATTTGTAGTTTCTTTAGCTCTAGAATATTCTGCCTAGTTCTGTGGCTTTGGAAATTCAATTCATATGAAAATCATAAAAGTCCCATAGCAGATTTCCCCATTTGCTTCAGTACATTTATTTACTATTTCAGATTAGAGATTATGAACTCTAACAGCAAAATCAGCACAAATTGAATGAAAGAAATATCTACATTTAATCTCTATAGATTCTTAAAGGAAAAAAGCAAATGATGAACTTATAATAATTAGTATTCAAGGAACGATTTTAAAGTCAGAGTATGACTGAAGGGATTATTTAAGAAATGAACTCATCAACATTTTCAAAGTGTCAATTAGCAACAAATACATAAAGGTAGAGGTCCCATCTTCTTTATACCTTCATGAGTGTCTTAAAGTGTCAAAATCTTGGGCTCTGTAATCTAATTACCAGATTTGAATCGCAATTCTGCAAACTTCAGTAAGGTATTGGACTTTCTATTTATTTGAAATTATCCTTTCTGTGAAAAACAGCATCAACTTTATTGTATCAGATAGAATGATGTAAGCTAAATATGGCACTAAGTTGATACACTGATAAAAGTACTCAGAAAATGTTGATTGATTTTTTTTGGGGGAGGTTGTAACAACTTCTTTTCTTCCAAATTTTATGCTTACTTTCAACGTATTTGCCAATGTACTGCAGTCACAGTTAAAAAATATGTATTTCTTAATGTTAAAGTATCTTTTTAGAAATAATTTGGAAGAGACACATTAGCCTATTGATTGCATGTGTTACTTCTAACTACTGCTTCCTAAACATGGTTTGAATCTCAGTTGTTCCCTTCAGATTCATGTTTGAAACAATTAGTCCCCAGCATATGGGAGCCATTTGATGTTTGTAGAAGCTTAGGGTTGTGAAGCCTGGCTGGCAAAGGTGTTATTAGGTAGTGGCCTTTGGAGGCTATTTCTATCTGTAGGTCAGGTCTGGTTATCCCTGCTTACTACTCCGCCAATATATTAGAAGCCTCTGTTTCATGCTACCATTGCACAGATGAGCTGCTCTGTGAACATACTGAAATTGCTCAGAACCCATGAGTGAAAACAAGTCTTTTTGAACCTTTAAGCTGTATCTCTCAAATATTTTGTCACAGAAAAAAAGGAAAGTAAATATATTAAGACTGATGATTCTTTGTGGAAAAAATTTTGTTTTTGGCAAAAAATAAAATCATCCATGGATCAAAGAACAATTTGGCAAAATGGTATTTGGCAAAGATCAAAGACTACTGAAGGTCCACCAATGTTAGAGAACATGCTGGCAATTCATCAGGGTTTATTTGAGATGCAAAATGATCACAGGGTCAGAAAGTTGTCATGCAAATGAACTAAAATCCCTTTAGGAGAATCATAAATCTAATTCAGAAGCTGAAATGGTAACATAATATGGAACTGAGGAAGAGAGCAAAAGCTATGGAATTCAGTCTATCCAGAAAATCTTCCTCTATCATGTGCTTCTCATCTTGCTACTTTATAACCTTATTCCCCCTCTCAAGAAACATCACATCCTGAGGAATCCTCTTCATGACTTCCTTAAAAGAAGTAACCAAGAACATTTACTTTTCACTAATTGTAAAGATATAAATTTTTCTTCATGAAACTCAGGCTGTTTGTTTGAAAGAAGATGTGGAAATTTCATCAAATACTGATAACAATATACAGTCTCACAAAACAGTGATTATGTGCAAAGGTTTTAGATTCAATGTTACTGTAATTTAACAAAATGGGGAGGGTAGTTAGGGACTACTAAGAATAAGCCTGAATGGTAAGTTTTGTGGAGAAAAATAATGTGAAAAGGAGACTAAGTTTTCAGAGGGTAATTTTAATGTAAGTACGATGACCCAGGAATTCCATACTGAGAGACCAGGGGTTAAAGAAAATATGAACGAAGAAGATTCGCTGTGACTGTGTGGAAAAAGAGCAGGCAAGACAGCAAAAGCCATAGCAACAGGTGCTTGCCCTAAACACAGGAATGCCTAGTATGCCCATCAAGAGCAAAGAAGCCAATTAGTTTGAGTTGTTGGAGAAGGAAGAAGTAGAGAGGGCTGATGAAGATGGGTGCCCTTGCCCTTGCAGAAACTTACCATTCAACACATGTGACATTTACTTGAAATGACTAGGTAGCCACTGGGGATTTTAAATAAAAGCAAAGGTATGCACTTACATTTTACAAAAGCTCCTCTTATCATTGTGCTAAGAATAGCTCGAAGAAGAGCAAAGACAAAAGAGCCTATATGCTAGACCCAGCAAGTAATGATGGCTACCACCCATGGTTCCTTTGAGCTAACAACTGGTTCGTCATTTTCTCCATCAATGTTTAAATTTTTAAACAAGTCCTAACTCGTCTTTGCCTCCAGTGTTGGTCCTACACATTCTCTGTGTTACAATAAAGATGAAGAAGCACGCAAAGTTTCTCAATGCATGGGAATGATAATGGGAAAAATGGAAATGTGAATTACCATTATACAGAGTATTCACAATTAAATTGCAATAGTGCACTCCATTAGATAAGTACAAACCTTCTATATCAATTTTAAAAGATTGAAAAGTTACATTTCAAAGCCCTAAATCATTTTTTTTTTATAATTGTCTTGTGAAAAAGTCTTTGAGGTTGAAAATTGTGATCACTATTACTTTTGAGGGGTCACAGCATCATGCCTCCTCCTCTCCACTCCAGCCAAAAGTAGTATTAAATTTCTGCTGATCATTTACTCTGTCTAAAACCTGAGTATTTTCATAACAAAACTCCACTTTCCAGCTAAGGCTCCTCCATATAGACCTTCTGCTCAAGTCAGCTTTGTAGTAGTAATTCTACTTCTCCTTTCATAACACTACAGTAGAAATTGTGATATTGTATTACTCAATAAAAAGCCCCAAAAAGGAACTGATAATGTCACTTCACTACTGTGTTCCCAAGATGTGACCTCCATTTAACTCAGAGTAAATTCTGCTTTTAAAATTTATGGTGTTTTTTGTTGGTTTTTTTTTTTTTTTTTTGTGAGAGGTGATAGATACGAGTTGATATCATTCTTCTTCATTGGTTGAAGATACAGATTTTCCTCTGGTATATTTTTTTGATGGCCATACATGCATATGTTTTGGGTCTTCAATATTGTTCCACTGGTCTATATGTTTTTTTTCCCCCTAGTACCATTTTGTTAATTTGTTTGTTTTTGTTGTTTGTTTTTGTTGTTGTTGTTTGGGGTGTTTTTGTTTTTTTGTTTTGTTTTGTTTTGTTTTTTTTCTTAATACAGAGTTTCTCTGTGCAGATCTGGCTGTCCTGGAACTCACTCTAAAAACCAGGCTGGCCTCAAACTCACAGAGACCCACCTGCCTCTGCCTCCCAAGTGCTGGAATTAAAGGTGTGTACTACCACCATCTGGCTACCATGCTGTTTTTATGACTGGCTCTGTAATGTTCTTGAGGTCTGAAATAATAATTCCTCCAGCATTATACATTTTCTCAGTATTGCTTTGTCTTTTTTGAGTCTTTTGTGATTCCATATGAGCTTTAGGATTTTTTTTCCTATTTCAATGAGAAGTTATGTAGATATTTTGATTGGAATTGCATTGAATCTATAAATAGATTTGGATAGAATGGTCCTTTTCCCAATATCATTTTGAGAAAACCATGAGCATGGTATATATTTCCATTTTTTGGTGTCTTTATATTTTTTTCGCAGATTCTTAAATTTTCATTGTATAAGTCTTTCACCTCCTTGGTTAGGTTTATTTGTATTTTTTCCTTTGGAAACATTTTGAATGAGACAATAACCATGACTTATTTTTCAATATGTATTTTTCCTATTTTTTCAGTAAAAGTTTATTTACAATACCAATGGGCGCTAAGTAAATTTTAGTGGGAGTCTGAGTTACAGGGAGGATAGCTGATTTATCTTGGTACAAAGTAGGGAGTCGAAGTTGGTGGAGAAGTGACTATTAGATAGAAAATGCCTTGTTTCTCTTTATCTTGTTGGTAGATAGAAAAGTCAGAAAAGATGCCCCCA